CAGAGCATGAAACCACTGGATACACTCCAGCAAAGTTGATGTTTGGTCGGGAACTTCGGTTGCCAGTGGATCTGTTAACAGGACCCCCACCTTATGAAGAGTTGCCTGAGAATGTGTCAGAGTTTGTGAAAGTGTTATCGGAAAGAATGGATGATATTCACCATCAAGTGCGTTCAAACTTGAAAAAGTCTGCTGATTCGATGAAGCTATCTTATGATAAGAGATCTACTGAAGTCAGTCTTGTACCAGGAGACAAGGTGTAGTTGTATAATCCCAGAAAGACCAAAGGGAAGGTCTCCTACGTTATCTTCTCCATGGGAAGGCCCATATGATACAATGTGGTCGGCGAGGTAAGCCAAAGGTGGCGCATGACAACAGGCTTTGGCGTTATCACAGTCCAGGACATTTCAGTTGGGACGAAGTGAACAACAGAACAAATGACGCTGCTGAAGATGTGTCACCTGAAAAAGCCACTGTCAAAAAAGAAACTCTACCCGGTTTTGAGAAGGGAAACAGTGAAGCCCTTGATGAAGTTACTACCACTGATGTGACATTTACCGACGATAGGACATTTCCTGATAAAGCAGATGAACCCCACGTGAAGCAGAAGTCAACGAGACAGAGACCAGTACGGAAGAAGATACGTCCCGTAAAATTAAGAGACTTTGTTGAATTTTAATATTGTGTTTGTAAATTCTGTACATTTCATTAAGTTATTGTTAATTTTCTATTGGTTTAATATAAGTGAATCGTGCGTGAATCGTTGTGAATTATAGCTTGTGTTTAAGTTAAAGTGACTGTGGAAATTAAGTGTATTGCAAAGTTGTATTGAGAAAAAATAAACTAGTTTTATTTAAGAAAGGACTTGTATCGCTGAAGTTTTTCGGAAAGAATTTCTACGGAAAATTAACCAACGACCAGAGACGTAACAATACGTTTAACTTATTTTAATATATTGTTTTCAAACAAGTGGACTGTGTTGCTGTTTGTTTTTGTTGAAACTTATCGCCAACAAGTCACAGACACCTAGTGTAAAGAACCTGGTCTACAAAAACTGACAGAAGCAATACGGCTTTGGAAGTCCAATTACAAAGTGTCAGCAGAAGCCATTGCACGCGGCAAGTTCAAGCCAAAAAATGCTAATGTTTCATCAGAAGAATGTAGACTATATAAAAAACCTTGAATACCACAAGCAGCTGCGCTATAACTATATACACATAATTGTTTTACATCACAAAAATAAAAGGTTAGGCTGAACCTCCCTGCGTACATGCGTGAAGCTTAATTTGTAATTGTACATATAATTTTTATCTAATAAAAATATATCTTCTTACGTTTCTGATTTAGACATAATTTCTCTATTTTACAGTTTGTTAAAACTAAATATCAGAATTTATTCTATAATATGTTTAAAATAAGTTACTAATCCCCACCATATACGTTAGTCATCGTATTGAGCAACCTGACACAATATTATATATCATTAAATTTGCTTCTTTTTTTAAGAAAAAATTGTCCTTATATAAATATTATGACAAAAGAATACGACAGGTTTTACAAAATACAACGTTTCACGACAGTACATCCGATCGATTTCATTCTGTGATTTGCCGGAGAGTTGATGTGAGTTTCCATGGTTACATTGTTGACATTACACCTCTCGTGCAAGCCTGATTCGTGTTGTTTGAAATATCTTATGCTGTTTACAGGTATTGAAGAGTAACAAAAATTAGCTAAAACTAAATGGGAACTCTAGTGAATATAGTAGATATATGAGAACATCGATTTTATGAGTATACAGTATGTTAGTTATAAGAAAATGTTTCGGAAACTGTCACGTTGGGTTGGTCTGTATACTACTGAGAACAAGCTGAAAATTCGTATGTTTTATTATTGTTACATTGTTGTTTTTTAAGTTAAGCAGGTTTAAACCTCAAACAGCATAATATACTAGATAGCGATCTGATATTTATAGAACACATGACATAGCAGGTTGATATGTCACTGAATACTTGAGTTAGCGTACTGATATTTTATTAAATACGTGACTAAGCAATTTGATGTAATTTAATATTTGAATTACTGGTGAGATATGTTATTGAATACTTGATTTAGAAAATGATTTATCATTGAAAACATGACTTAGCGATTTAATACGTCACTGAATACATAAAGCTATGTGATAAGTCATTGAATGCTTGAGCTACAAATCTGATTTGTCATTGAATACTTGACTTAGAGATCTGATTTGACATTGAATACTTGACTTAGAGATCTGATTTATCGTTGAATACTTGAACTAGAGATTTGAATTCTTACCTAACAGATCTGATTTGTCCTTGAATACTTGAGCTAGAGGTTTAATATATCATTGAATACTTGAGTTACAGATTTGAGATAGGTATCTCATTTGTAATTGAATACTTCAGATAGAGATCTGATTTGTCATTGAATAGTTGAGTTAAGTTATTGACGTTTCCTTGAATAATTGTGTTAGAGATCCGGTATGTTATTGAATACTTGATTCAGAGATCTCATGCATCATTGAATACTTGAGTTAGACATTTGGTTTGTCATTGAATATATGATTTAGCAATCTGATATGACATTGAATACTAGAGTTAGGGATTTGATATGTCATTAAATACTTGACATAGCTGTCTAATATGTCATTGAATACTTGAGTTACACATCTGATTTGTCACTGAATACTTGAGATAAAAATCTTCTTTGTCAACATTGTTGAATACTTGAGTTAGAAATCTTATTTGTTATTGAATAGTTGAGTTACCTATATGATCTGTTTTGAATTCTTCACTAAGGAACATGATATGTCATTCAATACTTGAGTTAAAGTTCTGATATGTCATTGAATACTTGAGTTAAAGTTCTGATATGTCATTGAAAACTTGAATTACTTGACTTAGCAATATCATATCATTAAATACTGCAGTTAGATATCCAATATTTGATTGAACACTTGAACTAGCGATCTAATATGACACTGAATACTTGATTTATAGATTAGCTACATCAATAAATATTTTAGTTAGAGATCTAATATGTAATTGATTACTTGAGTTAATGATCTGATATACCATTGGATACCTGAGATGGTGATCTGAAATATTTGTGAATATTTGACTTAGCGATAAAGTATGTCACAGAATGCTTGAGTTAATGATCTGATATACCATTGGATACCTGAGATGGTGATCTGAAATATTTGACTTAGCGATAAAGTATGTCATAGAATACTTGAGTTAATGATCTGATATACCATTGGATACCTGAGATGGTGATCTGAAATATTTGACTTAGCGATAAAGTATGTCATAGAATACTTGAGTTAATGATCTGATATACCATTGGATACCTGAGA